GACGTTTGCTGCCATCTATAGGCAGGAGAATTTTACAATAGTTTACAAAATATTGTGTTCAGCCCTGCAAGTATTTTCTTTATAATAAAACACTGAACATGAAACCCTACATAAAAGATCAGAAGAGCATCTCTCCAGCTCCTCGTTAACTCCCCCTCCGTTCTCCGTCCTGCAGTTCTGTGTTCGGGGGTAGCGGTCCTGCACACCCCACTCTCACTCAGTCTCCCCCTCCTCCTCCTCCTCCATGTCAGGCGCCCTCTCCCTCTCCCGCTCCTCGTCAAACAGGTGGCTCTGCCTGTGCTCCCAGAGACGCACCCCTCCGTCCCACTGCGGGAGAGACAGACAGGGAGGCAGAGAGGTCAGGCGCGAAAACAGACCGCAACACCGGAACACACGGACACCAACAGGGCACACATACAGTCGGGCACACGATCAGACATGCATACAGCCCGACATGCATACAGCCAGACACACAATCAGGCACGCATACAGCCAGAAACACAATCAGGCATCCATACAGCCCGACATGCATACAGCCAGACACACAATCAGGCACGCATACAGCCAGAAACACAATCAGGCATCCATACAGTCAGACATGCATACAGTCAGAAATGCTTACAGTCAGACACACACAATTAGGCGTGCATTCAGTCAGATGTACAATCGGGCAAGCATACAGTCAGACACGCACGCATACAGTCAGAAATGCAATCAGGCACGCACAAATTCGGACATGCATACAGCCAGACACACAATCAGGCACTCATACAGCCAGACACGCATATAGTCAAATGCACAATCGGACAAGCATACAGTCAGACACACAATCGAGCAGCCATAAAGTCAGAAGCGCACAGCCACACAATCAGGCATGCATACAGTCAGACACTTGCACAATCACGCACACCTACAGTTAGACATGCACAACCAGACATGCATGCATTTAGATACACACACGAGCAGACACACTATTGGGCATGCACACGGACAGATTTACAGTCAGAAATGCACAGAGTCAGACACACACAGGCGGAAAGGCACGAGGGCATGAGGAGAAAGAAGATATGAACAGTCAAACACATGATCAGCCACACACAGAACTCACAGAACTGCTTATGATGTTTGCCTCATAGGGGTGCCAGCTGACATCTCGAACACAGGCATCATGGTCGGAGAGCCGGGATACTACGCAGCCAGTCAGCACATCGTAGACTGAGATTGAGAGAGAGGGGTTAATACAGACACACTGACTGGACACTCCAGTACATGAACACTGCACTGAGAGAGAGGGGTTCATACAGACACACTGACTGGACACTCCAGTACACGAACACTGCACTGAGAGAGAGGGGTTCATACAGACACACTGACTGACTGGACACTCCGGTACATTAACACTGCACTGAGAGAGAGGGGTTCATACAGACAC